TTCAGCCTATCTCAGGGGACTGGTGGATGAGTGCCCAGAGGCCAGAGGACTTGATGGAACTTGGGACTTGTCTTGGTATGCTGGGCTGCTTTGAGGATGGAGTTAGCACTAACTTTTCTTTCTCTTGCAGCACTAAACAAGATTGGTGATGAAATGGAGCCTGGAACGAACTCTTTTCGAGTAGAGTTTCCAGATTTTTCCAGCACCATTCTGCAGAAACTAAACCAGCAGCGCCAACAAGGACAGTTATGTGACGTCTCCATTGTTGTCCAAGGCCACATTTTCCGGGCACACAAAGCTGTTCTTGCTGCCAGTTCACCCTACTTTTGTGACCAAGTACTCCTGAAAAACAGTAGGAGAATTGTGTTGCCTGATGTGATGAACCCAAGAGTATTTGAGAACATTCTCCTATCTAGCTACACAGGACGCCTTGTGATGCCTGCTCCAGAAATTGTTAGTTACTTAACAGCAGCCAGCTTCCTCCAGATGTGGCATGTGGTGGACAAATGCACTGAGGTTCTAGAGGGAAACCCCACAGTTCTTTGCCAGAAGCTAAATCATGGCAATGACCACCAGTCTCCCAGTAGCAGTAACTATAATGGCCTGGTAGAGAGCTTTGAGCTGGGTTCCGGGGGGCACACTGATTTCCCCAAGGCACAGGAGCTGAGGGATGGTGAGAATGAAGAGGAGAGCACCAAAGATGAGCTGTCATCTCAGCTCACTGAGCATGAGTACTTGCCCAGTAACTCATCCACAGAGCATGACCGGCTGAGCACTGAGATGGCGAGCCAGGATGGGGAGGAGGGGGCCAGTGACAGCGCGGAGTTCCACTACACCCGGCCTCTGTACAGCAAGCCCAGCATAATGGCTCACAAACGCTGGATCCATGTGAAGCCTGAGCGCCTGGAACAGACGTGTGAGGGCATGGATGTGCATGCAGCCTACGACGAGCACCAAGTCACTGAGTCCATTAACACCATGCAGACAGAACACTTGGTCCAGCCTTCAGGAGTGGAAGAGGACTTCCAAATTGTGGAGAAGAAAGTAGAAGCAGAGTTTGATGAGCAAGCAGAGGAGAGCAACTATGACGAGCAGGTGGACTTCTATGGCTCCTCCATGGAAGAATTCTCTGGAGAAAGGTTGGATGGGAATCTAATTGGGCACAGACAGGAGGCTGCCCTCGCAGCAGGCTACAGTGAGAATATTGAAATGGTGACGGGGATAAAAGAAGAGGCGTCCCACTTAGGGTTCTCCGCCACTGACAAGCTGTATCCTTGTCAGTGTGGGAAAAGTTTCACACACAAGAGTCAGCGAGATCGACACATGAGCATGCACCTCGGTCTTCGCCCTTATGGCTGTGGGGTCTGCGGTAAGAAATTCAAAATGAAGCACCATCTCGTGGGCCACATGAAAATTCATACAGGCATCAAGCCCTATGAGTGTAATATCTGTGCAAAGAGATTTATGTGGAGGGACAGTTTCCACAGGCATGTGACTTCTTGTACCAAGTCCTATGAAGCTGCAAAGGCTGAGCAGACTACAACTGAGGCTAACTAAAAATAGGGTCTGGCCCTTGAGTGGCATGCACAAAAATAAACTATGGTAATTAATGCAAATCTGGGCACAGATGATGCGTGCCACTTGCTATTATGAGAGAAGCTTAAAAAGAAAAAAAAAAA